ATCTATCTATCTATCTATCTATCTATCTATCTATCTATCTATCTATCAGTTTGTGTGTGTGCCAACGTACCTGCCGTTCTTTGTAACTATCATCTCGTTTGTGAGCTCCTTAAACTTTTGCCACAGGTCGTTCTCATCCAGCGACACCTTAAGTTCCCTCTCCGTAGGGTCTCCCTTCTCGCTGCCCACTTGCAGCTCACTCTCCACGGCGCTGAGGAGATGATCCACCCGGTACTGGACAGCCTTGCTGGGACACTCCTCGGCGCTTGTCGCCATCGCGTTCAACAGCTCCAGGGTCGAGCAGTTGTCAGTAAGTTTGTGCAGGAGCCCTTGGCTTCAGAGCTTCTTCCCTCCTTCTGTGCGTCAACAAAGAAAAAACGAGCATCTGAGCGTGCTGGACTTTGGGAGGAGCTGCAGAATATATAGGCTGTGGAGAAGCTCCATCTCGGGATGGCTGTTTTGGAGCAGAGATGGTTGGCTGTCTCCTCTTTGATCTTTGCCGTCCTGTCGCCCATTGGCCGGGGACGGCCATATCATTCAGCCCCACAGGATGACGGTGATTTGAATAAAGCAGTTTAACCTTCTTTATTACATCAACCTGTAAATATTGACACGTAGATCAAAGCCACACCTGCAGTGGTCAAGCCTCTGCAGACCGATCCTGGCCAGTTTTCAGCATTTACAGGTTTCAGTGAGGGTTTGTGTCTCTTAATGGGACATTTCCCCACCAGTTTTATGTTAGATTAAATGCTGTACTGTGAAATAACCCAAACAGTGCCCCTTTGTTTGGTTAAACATTCCTAGCTTTCTATCGGGAATAAATACAAACAAACAAGGAAGAATAATAAATAAGTGAGGAACTGAAAATAACAAAAACACACATTCAGATGCAACAATGACATGTTTTATGTTTGGTTTGATTTTCATTTCCTTATTTACATTTGAACAAATTAAGTACAAAAACTCCAATTAAACATAAGGCCTACTTTAAATCCAAATAGTTTTACTCTCACAAAACCCTATGTGTGCTGGCAAGGCTGTTACCATGGTGGGCCTGTAAAAATAAATAACAAATATTAAAAGCAGATTATGTGTGACAGCTATGTGTCAGAGTCCATGGAGCTCTGTGGTGTTGTGTTGTGGCCGGTTTGTGTTACTAACCAAATCTCGGAGGCTTGGTTCTTCCTGCCAGCGCGGGGCATCTGTCTCTGTGTCCAGCAGTTTGAATCAGAGTTCACAGCCAGCAGAGAAAAGCAAACCCAGCTCAGTTTAAAGAGCAGTTAAAAAGATTTTCTGTCTCGGTCCCGAATGTTACACAAAAGCAGATCTGACAGACAAATGATCCACATCATCACATCTGTGATGTTTCTTGATCAATTATCACAAATCGGACGAAAAGTCAAGTTTTCCTCAGTTGTCTCAGGTAAATTTCAACTTTTCGTCTCTCAGAAAGCTCAAGGTTTACATGGAATGAGAAGATATTGGTATCCCTTTATCATTTTAAGGCCCTTTCATCTGTGGGTGGCACGTCTTCCATTTATTTATGATCTCCTCATCTGTTAATCCCTTTGTCAGCTGAGAGGACATCCCTTTGCATGTCGGCTGAAGCTGCCACTGTGTTAAAGTCATAGTGTCAGAGGCAGTGTCACTTCCCACAGTATCAGTGTTCCTTTCGGCGCCTGTTTCTTTTTCTACAGCGCCCTACCTGGTGCTAGGTATGACACCAGGCCACTTCCTGTTTTAGGTCTGCAGCACTGTGATCAAACGTCATCGATATATTATGGTGCCACAGGTCTTCCCCAGTTCCTCAGAGGTAGGTCTCCAGATGTGGCTCAAAAGAAGTTGGACCGAGTCAGTTTTGAATCTGAAGTGACCGAAATTTAAATCATCCTTATATGTTTTTAATCTACTTTAGATCAATTGGCTTCCTCTAATGTCTACAATTAGCTAAATAAGTTGCAATCCTTTATGAAATGTTAATTAAAAGAGAGCAAAGTGATTTGGAAAAAATCATTGTAATGTGTTGAAGCTGAGATATTTTCTTTTTTGATTGAATAAACAGATGCTTATCATGAATAACTTGGAGGAAAATAGGTTTGTGAAGATTTGTAGATTATGAAATAAAAAAGTGAAAAAATAACCCATTTCTGAATTTGTTATATGCCATAATTCAATAGAAAAAGAGTATTCCTGTAAGGCTTTGTCTTAGGAGGTTGTCACCTCTCAGTCAAAGACAGGCTCTGAAAGCTAATAACCTTTTTGGAAATCATGGACTCCCTGTTCTCTTATGGGCAGCAGGAGAGAAAAAACACATTTTTTGTCAACACTCAGTTTAAAAGCATGGATGATGTGAGGCAGCATTTAGTCAGCAGTGCAAGGGTAACACACATCTGTGAAAATGTTTTGAGCCCCGTGCATTCACAAGGCAAAATCCAACCTGGTGAGGGTTTTATGTAAACCATTTCCCATCGAATAATGTTATTCAGAATATGATGATAAACTCCTCTGTCTGAAAACACTTAAAAAAGACCAGAATGGACACCATGAGGGGGAGTGATGGATCTGTCAGCACAGGGATGTGGCCAGTATGCTCCTGCATGCCTGTTAGCTTTGACCAGTCTGTTTGCCTTCCCCAGCTTTCTTTCGAGCCCGGCTCAACCCCTGTTTGCTTAAGACCATTTTGACATGGAGGTGAGACAAAAAATGAGTCTGCATGCTTACCCATATATGCTCATCTCAGCACCTGAGGACAGGATTTTTCTCCAGCTTTTTCAGTTGTCTCTTAAACAACTGTAAAATCTGTAAAATTCACAAAAAAGCTCTGAATGAAATTTCATCAACAAATATTTTGTTTTTTGGGACAATAGCTTCTCATAACAGTACCCTGGCATTAATTATATAATAATGTGACAGAAATATTTCAATATATTCTGGAAATATTTCCACATTCTATCACAAATCAGCTTTCCAACCAGATGTTTATGCATTGACACAGCTATCAGAATGCAGTTGTAGCCCCAACAACTCTCCCAAATATTTTCAGAACTGGCAAACCCTGATGAAAAACTGATGCTCCTCATGTTTAATGAATATAATTTCTCAGAAAAAAAAATCACAAAAAGAGACATAGGGGTTTAATTACGGTATCACCAGTATTCATCCAGGTCAATGTCACTAAAAGCCTGATTATGGAACAGAACTCTGGTTTAGTACACTCTGGATCTGATAAACAAACTAACAATTACTTCAAGTGGGAGTAGATCAGCTGACTATGAGTGAGAAACAGGCTTTTTTGAGTGTTTTTTTGTTTATGCCTGTCAACCAATGCCTGGTCAGATTGAAAGAAAAACAATAACCGCCCTAAAGGCCGAAAGAAATGGGATTTAAGGAGATTAGTGGTAGCAAGAATGTAATGGCAATAAGTATATTATGTAATAATTAAATAAATGAAAAACTCAATAACTTGTGTTATATTGTCACTGATGTTGCATTTCAAGGCTCATCTGCACAGATTTCAGGTGTGTGTGCCTCTCACTCACCATGTTAGATAACATTTCCTGCACCAGTGCCTTTAACATAAAACTTCACACAGTAATTAAACCCCATTCATGCTTCTATGAGCTGCCAAAAAAAGATTAGACACTCCTTTAATAAGAACACAAATAGAAATAATGAAAACACATCCATTACATGTATATGGCTGGACAAGTGAAGTGAATCCCCAAAAGATTATTTGTTTAATTCAGATTAGAAAAGTGCCATTCCTTTACTCTTGAAAGCATCTTCCAAAGTGGCCCGGCTACTGTCTGTGATGTTGTGACCTGTCCGCAAAACGTAGCGTTGTTAATATATTCCTAACGGCGTGTTACTTCTCAAGAGTAGCCATAGTATGGTTCAGCTCACACCCGATAACACTGCACACTCGGGTGACAACACACTTTGTCTGCTGGGTGCAAACTGGCTCCAAGGAGGGCTTCTTAGCAAGGGAGCGTTTACTCGCAAGACAGTGCAGCAGGTAACAGATCTACACAACTCCATCAGCTGCCGCACACTCAGGTGCATGAGCAGGGACAAGAATCTGCATTCCTTCAGGTTCAGTACAGGTGCTGAGCTGGTGAGGATGAGGAGGCCTGAACATTTAGGACCCCACACCAGAAAGGCTCCGCAGACCAGCCTGGCCATACGTGCACTTTCCACTCACTCAAGTCAGTTAATAGTAATAGAGCTGGGGTGCTCTGGTCCATCTAACTGTGATGCACACTTGTGAAATTCAACATGTCGAAATGACCATGAGCAGATGGCCACAAAGATAGCCGATTATTGCATCAACTGTCCCATAAATCACAGCAGCTACTAAAAAAAACTTATAAATAGGCACAAACTGAGTCAGGTGGGATGAAATGGGTCATTATTCAAAAACATAACTATGGACTATAGAGACTGCCTATGTGGCTTCATCTCTAATTGCTTTTATTTTGGGTATTTGTCATGGACGTGGGGAATGTACTTATGGCACAGGCGGGCTGTGGAGGCAGGAGGAGCCGCTGTTTGCCTGTGGGATGATGGGATTTCACACCAGTGGAAAACTTGTCAGTTCAATCCTTCACTTTCTTACCGTCCCGAAGCCAACGCGCTGCCCCTCAGCAGCAGCTCTCCACCAACATCGTACCAAACAGACTTCATCCCTAATTAACAACAAGGATGACAGCGGCCAACACTGTTGTGCGACACATTCACAACAAGTGAACGCAAGACGTGAGGGGCGATGCGAGCAGGAAGACAAGTTGGCTTTTGCATTCACAATTTATTTAAGAACAATGTTACTGTTATGGAGATTTCAAGGATTTGTTAACAGCTTCCAAAATGCTGAACTTTACAGTTAAAACACTTGAAATACAATTCAAAATTAGGTAATTGTGGAATTATTAGAGTTTTATACATGATAAGACATGTGGAGTTAAGTTATTGGGATAATGTAGGAATATCTGAACAATCTAGTCATTCAGAAACTATCGGTACAGATACCGTCTGAATAAGCGGTAATGAGTGGAGCCACAATATAATTCAAAGTCTAACAGGCTCCAACATTATCTCTCTCTCTTTTGGTAAATGGACTGCTGTTTGTCTGACAACTCATAAAGTTTTAAAAGACAAGAAACTCTCCAAATAGTTCAACATCTGCTCACTGTGCTGGCATGAAGTGACACCACTGGCCCAATTGCTATGCTTCTTTTGTAGTGGACATAATTACGACATTTTCCCCCAGATGATGTTTGTAGGAGTCAGAGCAGCTGTCAGAGGAGTTGAGCTGCTGCAACAGAGGGGTCGGGTTGTGTTTGGTCATCTCACTTCTACGTGAGTTACAGCTCTGTCCTGCAGGAGG